GCCTAGGCGGGTGGATTAGGAGGTCAGGAGTTCAAGACCCACCTGATGGACATGGTGAAACCCAGTCTCTACTAAAAATACAAAAATTAGCCAAGTGTAGTGGCATGCGCCTGTAATCCCAGCCACTCAGGAGGCTGAGGCAGGAGAATGACTTGAACCCAGGAGGCAGAGGTTGCAGTGAGCTGAGGTCGCACCACTGAACTCCAGCCTGGGTAACAGAGCAAGACTCAGTCTCAAAAAAACAAAAAGGTGAGAAGCATATAAATACATCTGCACCCAGAGTGTTGATATATGCAGAGACCGCTTCCCAAGACTAACTGTGGCTGCCTCCAATGAGGGGAACTCGGGGACTGGGGAGGGAGGAAATGAATATTTTGCATCATTTATCTTTGTTTTTTTGAGACAGAGTCTCTCTCTGTCGCCCAGGCTGGAGTGCTGTGGCGTGATCTCAGTTCACTGCAACATCTGACTCCCAGGTTCAAGGAATTTTCCTGCCTCAGCCTCCCAAGAAGCTAGGATTACAGGCATGCGCCACCACGCCCAGCTAATTTGTTTGTATTTTTAGTAGAGACGGGCATTTCACCATATTGGCCAGGCTGGTCTTGAACTCCTGACATTGTGATCTGCCCACCTTGGCCTCCCAAAGTGCTGGGATTACAGGCGTGGGCCACTGCGCCCCACCCACCATTTATCTTTTTTGAGAAAAAGTCTCACTCTGTGCCCAGGCTGGCAGTGACTCAATCTTGGCTCACTGCAGCCCCCACCTCCCAGGCTCAAGCAATTCTCCTGCCTCAGCCTCCTGAGTAGCTGGGATTACAAGTGTGTGCCACCATGCCAGGGTAATGTTTGTATTTTTAGTAGAGACAGGGTTTAAGGGTTTGCTATGTTGGCAAGGCTGATCTCGAACTCCTGACCTCAGGTGATCTGCCTGCCTTGGCCTCCCAAAGTGCTGGGATTACAAGCATGAGTCACCACACCAAGCCACCATTTACCCTTTCGAACTGCTTATTACTTATCATGGGTTTAAATTACCTGTATGAACCGAATTCACTAGTTAATTAAGTTCAATAAATAAAACTGTAACCTACACAAAAGCTAGAACAGAAAATCTCAAAGCCAGGAAATGGGGGGCCAAGGCTGTGAGATGGAAACAGCCTGCCCGTTTGCAGCGTTCTCCTGAAGTCTAGAACCCTCCATTGGACCTGAGAGCGCCTTAATTTTCCAGCCAGCTGAGGACTCGCTCCTCCCTGCAAGTCCCCACGTTTTGCAAAACTCTAGTACGTGGTGGATGAAAGACACTCAAGCTGCCTCCTTGTTATGTTGCTTTGCCTCTCTGAGCCTCAGTTTCCAGCCCTGGAAACAATAACGCACTGGGTTCATTGTAAGGATTAAGAGAGAGAATGGACAAAAAGCCCTAAACGCAGGACCTGTAACTTGGTACACGCTCCACATGAGGGAGAGAGCTTCCCATCACCAGAGGTAATCAAGCACAGTGAATCCAGTTTTCACAAAACTTCCAGACTAGAGTCTTGGTCTTCCCTTTGCTGCCCCCTGAACCCAAGACTTACCCTATAGCCTCCTTATACCATAAAACTTGTGATACGTATATATCACCCTTCCAAACAACAAAACTTCTGAGCAACCCTAAGTGGGGACGCGGATCTAGCATCTTTGGGGCCTGTGTGCGATACTCTGGTCCCTTCCTCCTGGTGGTCCTCAGTTTCCCCTAAGTGAACAGCAAGATAAATGTTCTGGCTTGGTTTCATTTGGCTTATCTGAATTATCTTAAGAGTTTTCACAACGAAAGCAGGTTCCTTTTTTTTCCTTTTCTTCGCTGAGAACACAGAAACCATGTTACCTGTATTTCTGTTTTGTTTTTGTTTTTTTGAGACAGGGTCTCACTTTGTCACCCAGACTGGAGTGCAGTGGCACGAATACGGCTCATTGCGGCCTCAACCTCCCCAGCTCAAGAGATCCTCTCTCCTTACCCTGCAGAGTAGCTGGAACTACAGGCGCATGCCACCACACCCAGCTAAATTTTGTATATTTTGTAGAGACAGGGTTACACCATGTGGCCGGACTATTCTCACACTCCTGGGTTCAAGCAATCCTGCTGTCTTGGCCTCCCAAGGTGTTAGGATTACAGGCATAAGCCCCAGCGGCTGGCCCTGTTTTACTTTAATAGGCACCTTGCCTACATTTCCTGTACCTCAGTTTTCCTATCTATAAACTGGGTGCCAGGGTGGGAAGGCTACAAGGTTGTAATAGTATCCTTGTTGGAACTGCCGTGAGGGGCCAGGTGCAGTGGCTCACGCCTGTCATCCCAGCACTTTGGGAGGTCAACGTGGGTGAATCACCTGAGGTCAAGAGTTCAAGACCATCCTGGCCAACATAGTGAAACACGATTCTACCAAAAATACAAAAATTAGCCAGGTGTGGTGGCAGGCACCTGTAATGCCAGCTGCTTGGAAGGCTGAGGCAGGAGAATTGCTGGAACCCAGGAGACGGAGGTTGCCATGAGCTGAGATCATGCCATCGCACTCCAGCCTGGGCTACAAGAGTAAAAACCCTGCCTCAAAAAAAAAAAAAAATTTCTCAGGCAAAAAAGTGCCCCACACATAATAGATGCTTGATCAAATAGTCTCTTTAAAAAAATATAACAATAGCTATTATTGGAAGAAGCAAGAAACAGACCCCAATTCTCCCCAAGTCCCTTCTGCCCTGAGATTCTAGACCTCTGCCCCACTTCCCTGTCTTCCCAGCACCCAGCTGTGGTCCCAGACACAGCCAGCACTCAACAAATATTTGTCAAACTGAGAGGAAAAGAACTATATCTTGTAATTTTCCATCTTCACGTCCTCTCTTCCGACTGCCCCCAGGACTGTCCCCAGCCAAACTAGCCAGAAATCAGAGGACCCAGGCTCCTCCACCCCTCCTACACTGCCTAGGAATTTCTGAGAGATCTTGGCCACGTCTTTTTCTCCTTGAGCCTCAGTTTCCCCAGCTGGGTAATAGGGACATGGGTTTTGAATCCTGGCTGTCCTTGAAGGGGCACAGTCCAGGGGAAGTGGGATGTGATCACCTGCAGGAGAGACCCCCTGGAAAGGTGAGAGTGGCTTTCTAGTGGGACAGGCATCTGCTCACTTCTGCACCCCACCCTACCCCAGCACCCCCCCCACCCCAGCACCCCCAACAAGGCGAGATGCTTGGCCACGGCCACAGCAAGAGGTGGGCCTTGTGGGAGGGCCAGGCCTCCAGGGCTGATGGTGGTGGTGGGGAGGGCAGGGGGCCGGCCCAAACGCCGCTCCTGCCCTTTTACGGTTGCAGTGAGTGAGGCAGCACTAACTCGGACATCCGCCATCCGCCTTCCACCGAGCCTAGGACCGGAAACGCGGCGGGGGGGGGAAGGGGCGGGGCTGGGGGGCAAGGGGAGAGAAGAGTCCCGGAGGAAGAGGGCGAAGGAAGAGAGCGTCGCTCCCTAAACTGACCCCTCTCCAGGGCGGACTTGGAAGGGATGTAGCTATAATGGGGAGTGGACAGGCAGGAAGTCTTGAGGGTATCCGTGGGTGTCCTCCTTGCTCCAAATTTTCCAGCCATGCCTTTCACATCAGAAGGAAGAAACGGGGAGGGGGATTCTTTAGTGGTCATAAAAAGGAATGCCACGCCACCCCGATGTCAAAGGGCAGGGGTGCAGGAAATGAGGAGGATGTGGGCACCACGGGGTTAATCCCCAGCCGTCCCCCGGGGCCTCCGTGCTCAGGCTGGGGGCTTGGGGGCAGGAAGTCCCAGAGAGAGTGGAGGAAGGGAGATAGTATTGTCAGGCTCTGGCCCCTTGGGAGAGATTATGGGGGGCCAGAGGAGGGGAAAATGGGGGGACGGTTGGGTCTCCCCGCCCGCACTGGCACCGCCCTCAGGTGAGCCCAGGAGTTCGGGGGAGGTCCCAGCCAGACCAAATCCCTGGGTCCCTGGGGCCGCCACCCCCAGGATTAAATTCCTGGGAAGATAGCTGGAATTATCTGGGAAGCCTGGGTCCCTGGGGAAAAGGGCTATGACCTTGAAGCTTTCCAGCTCCCCCTCCTCCAACCCCAAGACTCCGGATGGATGGGGGGGCGATGAGCAAAGGGGGAGGGACCGTGGTGGGGAAAGCAGCCGGCCCGCAGCGATCGGTGCCCGCCCCCCACACCAGCTGTCTCGACAGGTGAGTCAGGAAGACAAAGGCCCCCTTCCCCCAGCTGCCGCGCCCCCTCCCTCCCCAGGGCTGCGCAGGTGGGGGAGCGGGGCCGCCCTTCTGGCCCTGAGCGGGAGCCGCCCTCTGCTTCGAGCGCCCGCTCTGTCCTAGGCACTGCGGACTAAGCAGATTGTGTGCGGGGCGACGGGGGAGGGGAGTCCCACCAGACTCCGCAGGCTGCGTCTGGGTCCCTAGATCGGTTCACACCAGCCTTCTCCACAGGAAGACCTAAGTGCCCCCCCAAAAATTCAGGGCATTAAGTACCCCCGAAGTTAAGAAGCGCGGTCCCACTTGGGGAGACTTTTTCCAGCACCACGTAAACGGGGACCCCGCACACCCAGGGTCTGAGTCTCAGTCTCTCTTCCAAGTCCCATGGTCTCCCAAACCGGCCCCCCACAATCCTTCCCGGACCTCGAGCTGAAGTTTGGGGGGAGGGGGAGGAGAGTCTGAGCCCTGCCTCAATCCTGGCATCCCTGCGGGAAGGCGCTGCCAACTTTGAGGTCCTCTGAAAAAAAGTCTTTAACAATTGTGGAGTCCTCCGAGCGCCCCCAAATCTGAGGACTCCCAGGAGAACCTCACCGCCACCACCCCCCGAGTCGTGAAGAAGCGATCGATGGTTCTGGAGCTGGTCCAAGAGGATTCAGCCCAAATCCGAGGCTCCCAAGGATCTGTCCCCAAATTCCAGCCCGGAGCGAGCTGAGGGGGAGGGGGACAAAGGCGGGGCGCGGAGCCCGCCCGGGCGGGGACGGGTCGGGGGGCAGGTCCGGCTCACCTCATGGCTGCTCGGCGGGCGGGCGGTGCGCCCACGGGCTGGCTGCTCCCGGGGCGCCCCTGGCCGGAGGTTCAGGGGTTCAGGTCTGGCTCCGGGCTCGGATCAAGCTCCCCCAGGGTCCCGCCCCATAGAGTCCGGCTTCCTGGGCAGAACGTGGACCCGGCCGGGGCGGGTCTCCGGGCACCGCTTCCCTCAGGCGGTCTGAGGAGAAGTCTCTGCGGCAGAAAGGGGGGTGCGGCGTCCCTCCCCAGCGCGCCCCCGGTGCCGGCGGCGGCTGCACTGTTACTCTTACTACTGTACTTCTCTTCGTTACATTTCGTTCCAAAATTCCACTCCCAGCACCCACAATGCCCCGCGCCTTAAAGGGGCCGCGCGCGCCTCCAGGCGAGGGGGTGGAGGGCGCTTAAAAGGGCAACTTGGCACCCTCGGCTTCCGCGATCTCGCTCTAGTCCCCGACGTTGTAGCCTAGGGGTGCACCCTGGGAGTCACCTCCACATGGAGGGGCAAGCTTGGTGGAGGGGAAGGGGACCTCCCTTGCTCCCTAGTTCTCTCCCACGGTGGGAATTCTCAGGAGCGTCTCGACACTCGGAAGGGGCACGATTTCTCTCCCCATCGATTTCTCCATCCCGTACTCCGCTCAATTTTGGGGGGCGAGGAGGACCCTCCTGCTAAGCAAGTGGTCCCACATTTTCTGCCTGAAATCCCATCTCTGGAACCCCGCCCCTCCCCATCGTCTCTCTCCTGTCAGTTTCGGAGGGGTTACTTAGGCGCTAGCCTAGCATCCGCACGGGGGCGGGAGGTGAGGGGAGTAGGGCCCCACCCCTCTCGCCCCACCCCTCCCGCCCCGGGAAGGTGAGGAGGAAGTGGGCCAAGGGGGCGCGGTCGGCCGCTGACTCACAGCCGCAGGGTCGGGGGTGGGGTGGGGTGGGGGTGGAAGTGGGGACCGGCGGGGAGTGCCGGAGTGGGGGTCTGGCATTCGCCCTGGGTGGGCGGGAGACGCCTGGTTCTTCGGTGTGTAAAGCCCCCGACCCACGCACGCCGCGCTCTGACTCAGTTTGTCCTGCGGAGGACAGCAGGATCATCCCACCCGTCAGGAGGACCCGGAGGTGAGCAGACCCTCCCGGAGCCCCCGCCCCCCACACGCCGGCTCCCAGCCGAGCCCAGACACCCTCCGAGGCTTCCGCAGCGGGTCTGGCCGGCCCTGCCCCGAGTGACGTCACTGGCGTGGTCGCGCCCCTTGGGTAGAGCGCCACCTGGCCCGGGTGGGGCGCCCGAGTCCTGGGAAACCAGTTACAGTAGTTCCACGTTTGCACATGGGTAAACTGAGGCCTGGGAACAGGAAACGAATCTGGCCTATGGCCCTCTTGCCTGAGCCCCCAGAACACGGAAAGCCACCTAAGTCTGAGTGTAAAACTAACAATTCTCAGGGCCAGCTGACTAGGTGAGAGAATCCACCTTTCCAGCCTCTGTTCAAGCCGAGTCCTGTGTCCAGATGTTGCCCTGACCTCCGTCACCTGGGCAGGCTTCGTCCTTCCAGGCCAAGCCCTGACGTAAATTCCCCTCCCCTTCTCCACCCCACTCTGGGAGATCTTGAACCCTGATTCCCGGAGGTTATCATTGTTTCTTAGTGAGTCTCCTCAGGCTGAGTTGTCTAGGCGAAGGGGTAGATTTAGTTTCTTTTTTTTCCTCTTTCTTTTTTTTTTTTCGACAGGTAGTCTCCCTCTGTCACCCAGGCTGGAGTGCAGTGGCACGATCTTGGCTCACTGCAACCTCCCCCTCCTCGGTTCAAGCGATTCTCCTGCCTCAGCTTCCTGACTAGCTGAGATTACAGGCAAGATGGGGTGTCGCCATGTTGGCCAAGCTGGTCTCAAATTTATGACCTCAGGTGATCTGCCTGCCTCAGTCTCCCAAAGTGCTAGGATTACAGGCGTGAGCCATTGAACCCAGTTGACTTAATCAAGTTCTGGACTTTACTCACCCCAGCCAAGCCCTGAACAGCAGCTCAACAAACTTTTATCCAGTTGAATGAGAACCCCAGTTCTGTGTGACCTTGGGTAACTGCTTTCTCCTCTCTGGGTCTCAGATTTCCCATCTGTGAAATAGGAGGGTGGCCGGGCGCGGTGGCTCAAGCCTGTAATCCCAGCACTTTGGGAGGCCGAGGCGGGTGGATCACGAGGTCAAGAGATCGAGACCATCCTGGTCAGCACGGTGAAACCCCGTCTCTACTAAAAATGCAAAAAATTAGCTGGGCATGGTGGCGCATGCCTGTAATCCCAGCTACTCAGGAGGCTGAGGCAGGAGAATTGCCTGAACCCAGGAGGCGGAGGTTGCGGTGAGCCGAGATCGCACCATTGCACTCCAGCCTGGGTAACAAGAGCGAAACTCCGTCCCAAAAAAAAAAAAAAAAAAAGAAATAGGGATGGCATTTCTGGGTGCCACCTACAATACAGCAACAGTCAGCAAACATGGTTTTTTGTTTGTTTGCTTGAGACAGGATCTCTCTTTGTTGCCTGGGCCGAACAAACTGGCATAACCAGGGCTCATGCAATCCTCCACTCAGCCCACTGAGTAGCTGGGACTATAGGTACACACCGCTATGCCCCGTTAATTATTCTAGAGGCAGGGTTTCACTATGTTACCCAGGCTGGTCTCAAATTCCTGGGCTAAAGTGATCCGTCTGGCTTGGCTTCCCAAAGTGCTGGGATTGGAGGTGTGAGTCACACACCCAGCCAAGAAACTTTTTCTGTAAAAGTCTAAATAGAAAATCTTTTAGATATGCTAGACAATAGGGTCTGGTTTACACACGCTTGTTTTTATTTCGTTTTTCTTACAATCCTTTAAAAATGTAAAAAAACTTCTCAGCTTAAGTGCTATACAAAACAGGTAGAAAGACCCCTGCATTAGAGAACTCTTACATATGTACATAAGGACCTTTATGGCAGCAGTAATGTGAGAGCAAGAAATTGGAAATAGCTTGAATGTCCATCAAGAGGACAGGGGAGGCCAGGCACAGTGGCTCATACCTGTAATCCCAGCACTTTGGGAGGCCAAGGAGTGTGGATCACTTGAGGTCAGGAGTTCGAGACCAGCCTGGCTTGAACATGGTGAGGCCCTGTTTCTACTAAAAAATTAAAAATTGGCCAGGCGCAGTGGCTCATGCCTGTAATCCCAGCAGTTTGGGAAGCTGAGGTGGGCAGGTCACTTGAGGTCAGGAGTTTGAGACCAGCCTGGCCAATATGGGGAAACCCCATCTCTACTAAAAACATAAAAAAATTAGCCAGGAATGTTGGTGGGTGCCTGTAATCTCACCTACTCAGGAGGCTGAGGCAGGAGAATCGCTTGAACCCGGGGGACAGAAGTTGCAGTGAGCTGAGATCGTGTCACTTCACTCCAGCCTGGGCAAAAGAGCAAAACTCCATCTCAAAAACAAAAAACCAGGCGTGGTGGCACACGCCTGTAATCTCAGCTACAAAGGGGGCTGAGGTGGGAGGATCACTTGAACCCAGGAGGCGGAGGTTGCAGTGAGTCTAGATTGGGACATTGCACTCCAGCCTGGGTGACAGAGTAAGACTCTGTCTCAAAAAAAAAATAAAAATAAAAAAAATAAAAGAAGATAGGGATACTGAAACCGTTGGACATCCCTTATCTGAAGCACCGAGTGAGCAGCAACTATAGAGAAGGAAGCGTGGACTGGGTGAGGTGGGTTGAGTCTGTAATCCCAGTGCTTTGGTTTTTTGAGAAGCCAAGGCAGGAGGATCACTTGAGGTCAGGAGTTTGAGACCAGCCTGGACAACATAGGGAGGTCCCCATCTCTTTAAAACAAAAAAAAAAATTGACTGGGTATGGTATCGTCCATCTGTGGTCCCAGGGGAGGATGAGGTAGGAGGACTTTTTGAGCCCAGGAGTTTGAGGCTGCAGTGAACTGTGATTGTGACATTGTACTCCAGCTTGGGATGGAGACCTAGGCCTTGTCTCTTAAAAGACGGGCGGCACTGATCAGGCGCAATGGCTCACACCTATAATCCCAGCACTTTGGGAGGCTTAGGCAGGCAGATCACCCGAGGTTGCGAGTTTGAGACCACCCTGACCAACATGGAGAAACTCCATTTCAACTACAAATACAAAATTAGCCCAGGATGGTGGTGCGTGCCTGTAATCCCAGTTACTCGGGAGGCTGAGGCAGGAGAATCCCTTGAACCCAGGAGGCAGAGGCTGTAGTGAGCCAAGAGTGTGCCATTGCACTCCAGCCTGGGCGACAAGAGCAAAACTCCATCTGAAAAAAAAAAAAAAAAAAAAAAAAGCAGGTGGCATGAAGTGTGTAAATGACATGGATGACATAGAATGAAAATATCAAAATAAATAATAAAAATGAAAGCAAAAAATAAATAAATAAAGGAATTTAATAAAGAAAAGAAAAGAAAATATCCATTAAGTGGGTAAAAAGTTGCAAAAGATGGCTGGGCAAGGTGGCTCATGCCTGTCATCCCAGCACTTTGGGAGGCCAAGGTGTGTGGATCGCAAGGTCAGGAGTTCAAGACCAGCCTGGCCAAGATGGTGAAACCTGGTCTCTGTTAAAAATACAAAGGTTGCAGTGAACCAAGATCAAGCCACTGCACTCCAGCCTGGGCGACAGAGTGAGACTCCGCACCCCCCACCCCCCAAAAAAAGTTGTAAAAGTTACAAAGGGAATGAAAAATATCAAGGAAACACCCAAAAATATCATATATTAACAGATATGAAAAGTCCACTTTAAACTCATTGCAAAGATTACCAGTCAGATAGAGAGTGTGGGATTCTAGGGAATTTGGTGGTGAGAGAGATTTTTTTCTTTTTATTTTTTTTTTTTTTTGTAAAGATGGGGTTTTGCCATGTTGCCCAGGCTGGTCTCCAATTCCTGGAATCAAGCTGCCTTGACCTCCCAAAGCGCTTGGATGACAGGCATGAGCCACCACACCAAGCTAGAGGTCTCAAGTCTGTCTTGAAAATGCCAAATTTGACCAGACGCCGTGGCTCACGCCTGTAATCCCAGCACTTTGGGAGATCAAGGCAGGCGGATAGCCTGAGGTCAGGAGTTCAAGACCAACCTGACCAACATGGTCAAACCCCATCTCTAGTAAATACAAAAGAATTAGCCAGATGTGGTGGCACGTTCCTGTAATCCCAGCTACTTGGGAGGCTGAGGCAGAAGAATCGCTTGAACCCGGGAGGCAGGGGTTGTAGTGAGCCGAGATTGCACCATTGCACTCCAGCCTGGGCAACAAGAGTGAAAACTCTGTCTCAAAAAAAAAAAAAAAAAAAAAGGGCCAAATTGTATCCTGCTTCTAAACCTTCACACTGGCTCTTCCCTCTGCCTTAGAACACTCGTCGGAGTATTTGCCGAGCTGACTCTTCTCTGTCAGGTCCCTGGTCAGTTGTCCCCTCCTCAGAGACCTTCCCTGATCCCCCTGTTTCAAAAGCCATCTCCCCCACCATGGAAAACTGAGTGGCTGAAGTGTGAGGGGGATGGAGAAAGACTTCATTGTAGGCCATTTGCACTCTGCATTTCAAACCAAGTGAATTTAGTACCCATTCAAAACTATGTGAATTAAACAAATTAAAAATTTAAAAAAAAAAAAAAAAAACCAAAGTTGGTTCCCCTGTTATTTTTTTTTTTTTTTTTTTTTTTTTTTTTTTTTGGGGACAGAGTTTCACTCTTGTTACCCAGGCTAGAGTGCAATGGCGCGCGATCTCGGCTCACTGCAACCTCCGCCTCCTGGGTTCAGGCAATTCTCCTGCCTCAGCCTCCTGAGTAGCTGGGATTACAGGCACACGCCACCATGCCCAGCTAATGTTTTGTATTTTTAGTAGAGACGGGGTTTCACCGTGTTGACCAGGATGGTCTCGATCTCTTGACCTCGTGATCCACCCGCCTCGGCCTCCCAAAGTGCTGGGATTACAGGCGTGAGCCACCGCGCCCGGCTCCCCTCATCATTTTCTCACCACATCCCCCTGTTTTAGTTTTTTCGTGATGCTCATCAGTCTTCAAGATGACTATTTTTTTATTGCTAATTACAGATTGGGTCTTGCTATGTTGCCCAGGCTGGTCTCGAGCTCTTGAGCTCAAGTGATCCTCCCACTTCAGCCTCCCCAAGTGCAGAGATTACAGGTGTGAGCCACTGCGCCTGGTGAGACGACTTTATTTATTTATTTATTTAAAGACGGGGTTTCACCATGATGGCCAGGGTGGTCTTGAACTCCTGACCTCAGGGGATCCACCCACCTCAGCCTCCCAAAGTGCTAGGATTACAGGCGTGAGCCACTGCGCCCGGCAACGGCTTTATTTATTGATTCCCTTGTTTGCTGTGTCTCTTGACTAGGAGGTCAGCCCCAGTGGGGCAAGGATCCTGGTGGGTCAGCCTGATTCATGGCTGTGAGGCTGAGGTCTGGCACACAGCAGGTGCCCAATAACGTATTTGCTAACAGACTAGGCAAATCACGCTTGTTTGTTTGTTTACAAGAAAATGTATTTGGAATCACTTATGTAAATACAATTTAATAATCAAAACTCTACTTCCCCTCCAAAACAGATGAATAATAAGAAGGAAAGAGGTTATTGGACTAGGTCATCTCTCAGAATCTGTTCAGCTCTGAATATTTCAAAAACATTTTGGTTGGGGGGTTTTTTGTTGCTTTTTTTTTTTTTTTTTCTTCTTTTGGGGCTTTTTTCTTTTTAGTGTGGGTGATGGTGGAATTTCCCCTCTCGTAAGACTTATCTGTGAGAGGGAAGTAAGAGAAGGAGAAATAAGCATGTTGGGTTCCTATACTGGCCTGCCTTCCTTCCGCTGGTACATGTGGCTGGAGAAGGGGTCCGTTTTCTTCTTTAGTTCTGTTGAGGCCCCAGTGGAGCAAAGGATCCCTAAAGGACAACAGCTGTCAGGCCTCCATGTCTAAGGCAGAGCCCAAATCTGTGGCAGTGGGCTTCCCAGCCCCATCCTGCCCGTTCTGTAACACAAAATGTGGGAAAAGGTAATTGGAAATCCTGTCTTCCCTTTCCTTTGAGGGACCACCATATCCATCTCACAAAAAGGGTTTGAGTGGAGTGGACCCCAACCCCCAGCCTGGCCAATCAGAGACACAGTGACTGATCAGGCATGTGACCTGGTGTGACCAAAGAGAACCAGCTCCGAAGGACCACTCCTGCAACTCCCAGGAAATTGGCAAACTCTCTCCACTGGGGAGGTTAGGTTGCTGGAGTGTGAGCCTGGAGCTGCAAGTCTCAGCTACCTCAAGAGAATACCCTGAAAGAGGATGAATCCAACTTGAAGAAAATAAAAAGAGCCCATGCATGATGACGCTATCTGTCAGCTGGATGCAGCCATGCCTTAAGGCTTTGAATACTTCAATTACATGGCCCAGTAAATTCCCTGTTTTGCTTTACCAGCTTGAATTGGGCTTCTGTGGCCATTGCTCACAACTCAAAGAAAACTGACAAATACCTCCTTCAGCTACTGGGAAATTATCAGCAATCCTCCCTTATCCACATGATAATAATCAAACTCCTCCCTTCTCTGCCATGCAGAGGCCTTGGGGCTCAGCCAGGCCTGGTGGCTTACGCCTGTAATCCCAGCACTTTGGGAGGCCGAGGCTGATGAATCACCTGAGGTCAGGAGTTTGAGACCAGCCTGGGCAACATGGTGAAACCTAGTCTCTTCTAAAAATACAAAATTAGCCAGGCGTGGTGGCACGTGCCTGTAATTCCAGCTACTTGGAAGGCTGAGGCAAGAGAATTGCATGAACCTGGGAGGTGGAGGTTGCAGATTGCGCCATTGGACTCCAGCCTGGGCAACAGGAGCAAAACTCCATCTCGAAAAAAAAAAAACAAAAACACTTGGGGCTCTAAACCCAGCTTCCTCACATTTCTTCCTTGATCCCACTCCATGCCCTTTTCCACCACCACCTCTTTGGATGTCTCCAAAATCTCCTTAGCTATCTGGGCCCCATTACAGCTGCTCTCGTCTAAGACCTGGACCATACTCATATATGTCCTGATGGTATCTGCTGTGCATCCAGGCCTTAGAATTAGTCATTAGCATTCCCTGAATGTTTTCACCTTATTCTTGGATGTGGGAGGCACTTAGGATGATGGGGCAATGTGGGCATTGCAGGGCCCACATTTCTTGGACGGGAATCACAGTATCTTCTCTGCATCTGTGTCTCCCTCATCATGCCTTGCGAAATGCTTCAGGGCTAGGAGTTGGAATGTATTAATATAGCAAGCTGGCTGGGTTGCCGTGGAATCTCAGCACTTTGCGAGACCAAGCCAGGAGGATCCCTTGAGCCCAGGAGTTTGAGACCAGACTGGGCAACATTGCAAGACCCTGTCTCAAAAAAAAAAGAGAGAAAAAGAGAAAAGAAGCCAGGCGCGGTAGCTCATGCCTGTAATCCCAGCACTTTGGGAGGCCGAGGCGGGCGGATCACAAAGTCAGGAGTTCAAGACCAGCCTGACCAACATGGTGAAACCCTGTCTATACTAAAAATACAAAAATCAGCTGGGCATGGTGGCATGCACCTGTAATCCCAGCTACTCAGGAAGCTAAGGCAGGAAAATCACTTGAACCTAGGAGGTGGAGATTGTGCCACTGCACTCCAGCCTGGATGACAGAGCAAGGCTTCGTTTTAAAAAAAGAGGGAGAGTGCCGGGCGCGGTGGCTCAAGCCTGTAATCCCAGCACTTTGGGAGGCCGAGGCGGGTGGATCACGAGGTCAAGAGATCGAGACCATCCTGGTCAACACGGTGAAACCCCGTCTCTACTAAAAATACAAAAAATTAGCTGGGCATGGTGGCGCGTGCCTGTAATCCCAGCTACTCAGGAGGCTGAGTCAAGACAATTGCCTGAACCCAGGAGGCGGAGGTTGCAGTGAGCCGAGATCGCGCCATTGCACTCCAGCCTGGGTAACAAGAGCGAAACTCCGTCTCAAAAAAAAAAAAAAAGAGGGAGAAAAGGAAGAAAAGGAAGGAAGGAAGGAAAGAAAGAAAAGAGAAAAGAGAAAGAAAATATATCAGGCAAATCTCTTATCCTCACTGGCTTCAATATTCCTGTCACTAAGAGGGGTAGGGGGGCTCCTCTCCTAAGAGAAACATCAGAGAACACAGATTCTTACCTCTCTGCACTCTTCTGAGACCTGGCAGAACTTAGAATAAGCTTCAGCAATGACAGTGGCCCTGGAGAGCATAGGAAGGCCCTCAGGAGGGGACCCTCCTCCTCCCACCCCACCACCATTCCACCCCACCCTTCCTCACCCCAACTTACTTGCAGTCCAGCCCTCCCCCAGGAGGTAAATCTGGGATGTCCTCTAAGGCCAGAGTCCTGAAAACTGTGTTCAGGCTGGGGAGCTCCTGAGCAGAGGCACACAGTTCTGAGAAAGAGTTAAGAGTTAGGCTGGGCACAGTGGTGCACACCTGTATCCCAGCACTTTGGGAGACCAAGGCAGGCGGATCACTTGAGGCCAGGAGTTTGAGACCCAGCCTGGACAACATAGTGAAACCCCATCTCTACTCAAAATACAAAAATTAGCTGGGTGTGGTGGTGCATGCCTGTAATCCCAGCCACCTGGAGGCTGAAGCCAGAGAATTGCTTGAACCTGGGAAGACGGAGATTGCAGTGAGCCCAGATTGTGCCACTGCACTCCAGTCTGGGCGACAGAGTGAGATTCTGTCTCCAAAAAAAAAGTTCGGGAAGAGCCCTCGCGGGCCAACCACCCCTCCAGCTGGGCCCCCGGAGCCTGCTCACCAGCGATTCTACGGCCCAGGGCTGCGTCCAGTGCTAGCTCCCTCCTGATCGCCTCCTCAGAAGGCCTAGGAGCCCCCGTGAAGCAGACCAGGATGCAGGTCATGTTGTCCAGGCTGCCCTGAAGCCGGTGGAGAAAACGGAGACCGATGGGGGAGAGCCGAAGGCAGAGCTTCCCAGCAATCCCTAGGTTCAAGTCCCCCACTTTAATCTGGTTATGCCCATTTGTCTCGTCTCACCCACCTGCCAGTCCTCTCCTACTGGGGCCTAACCATGTCCTATTCTAGGCCCTCCTTATTGAGAGAACAGTGCCCTTTCCCTACAGCTCTGCCCGCTCTGATGTTTATCTGCTCTTCCACCTTCCAGTACTAATCATATTTCAGGCCCTGCTCCTACGACCTAGAACCCCTGCATTCCAAAAGCCCACGCCCTTTCTCTTTTTTTTTTTTTTTTTTTTTT